ACAGCGGATTGATTTCAGACACCTTCTCCAATCACCAAACCTAAAGATCAGTGAACCTTCGAGAGAGTTCAGGAGCTGAGAGTGTGAAGTTCCACTGGAGATCTGAAGCATGAGGGAGGATCACTGTGCTCTGTGTAAACATGCATCAGGAAGCTTTAGATTCAGTAAGTGCTAGATCTGTTTGTAGCTCAGAAGTCTTGTTGTATCACATGGTCCAGTTTCCCGTCCACACTAACGCAGAAACAGAACAATAATAGAAACCAGAGGAGGCAGCCAGAGACTTGAGTTATTAAACATTGCTTGGCATTTCTTGGTATTTTTGTTCTTCTTGTGTGCGTATGGTTGCGTGTGTATTTTTTTTATGGTTGTGTGTGTAAAGGAGGGACCCAAGCTGTAATAAGGAACAAAAATATCATAGTAACTCAGGGTTGGTTTGATTTGGGCCTTGCAACCACCTTGCAATGCCGTAGAAATGACCCACAACATTACCAACTGCACAGCAATAAGCCAAAATCACTCAGAACACCCTTGCTAGTTTCTTTCTTTCTGGTAAATGTGTTTAGTTCAGTTCTGTGTAAGAGTCAGGGCTCATTGGTTAGCAGGTCCACCCGTTTCCCTCCTTTCCACACCTCCTGTCCTCCTCCCCGTCCCGCTCTCACCTCATGAGACTGTCCACCTCGCAGCCCCTCTAACGCTTTGCAGATGCTCAGGCCAGTAAATACACCTCACCGCTGCACCGCTAACTCCCACCTTCAGTCACTGACACTCCTACAAATGCACAGTGAGATGCCATTGAGTTTAAGCTTGTGCAAGAGCTTAGTTGAGGTTTTGGATCAAATTCAGAACCTCTGAACTCTACTAAACACACTTTAACAACAGCTGATGAACCATGCTGTTCAAAAGTTTTGAAAGAAATGAACACTACTGTTCAGCTAGGAAGCATTAAATTGATCAAAAGTGAGAGTAAAGACATGTACAATGTTAAAAAGGATTTATATTTCATATAAATGCTGTTTTTTTTTAACTTTCTGTTCACGGTTTCCAGAAAAATATTAAGCAGCACAACCGTTTTCAACTTTGATAATAATAAATTTTTCTTGAGCAGCAAATCATCAGCACATTAAAATGATTTATCATGTGACACTGAAGACTGTAGTAATGGAGTAATTTTTAAAAAACATTAAATAAAAAATCGTACCGACCACAAACTTCTGAGAGGTAGTGTACCTGTCCAGTTAACAGTACTATTACTCTCTTTTGCTTCTCTTTTGTTTCTCTCGGCTCTACTTCCACGTCATCTGTTTTACTGAACTTGATTGTCAAAATCCTTTAATTCTGTCTGATATTCTAATCATCTCATATTCACAATGATGTAACTGAATCAAAGCCCAGTGCTGGCCCAGTGTTTCTCTTCTTCTCTTTGTCCTGTTCTGTTTTATTTAGCATTAATGTTCTGGTTTTATTCCACTGTAAAGGGCTCAATCTTGATAATGATTTTTTGGGGGGGTTTTTTATATTGTGCTTCATATTTTGCTCAGGGCCTTGTACTAATTGAGGCAAGCATAACATTCCTGCTGTTTAGGGCTCTCTGGGATAGGAATATTCTAGAACTTTAGAAGTATAGCACACTTCTCTGAGAGCCGTAAAACTTCACTGCATAAAGTAGATGTCAGGCACTTCTGCATTAACGTTCTTTTCTTTGCAACTCAAGGAGTAACATTAGCCTGTGAATGTGTGGGATTGTGTATTTGTCGCCCTGTTTATATTTAATACTGTTCTTAAAGGTAATGTTTCTTTATTGGCATCTATGGTTCTTTTAGGAACTGTTCACCAAAAGATTCTTTGGGGAACCAAAAATTGTTCTTCTTAGGCATTGCTGTGAAAATGCCTGCTTTGATCCTTTATTTTCAAGGATGTAGATGCCAATAAAGGACCTTTATTTTTATTGTTATTGCTGTTGGGGCTCCAAAAGAAATTTCAGTTGCATGACTGCAAATCAAAATTTACCTTTAACATTTATTAAACACACTATATGTTTAAACGTAAAATATTAAGAAAGTTGACCTTCCTGAAAGTCAGTGCATAATTTACACATTTCATTGCTGTCTGAGCTGGCGGCCACCATTAGTTTGACAAACACTGAACAGGCCTGCTATTTAAATAGACACAGCAAATGCCAGAGATGACTTTATGAAGATATCACCAAGACACATAACAGAGAAAGCCACAGAATGCGATGCATCACTCGTGGATTTATAGATATTACTTGACTCAGGTTCAGGTGGAGTGAATGAACAGAGCGGTGCCCAATCAGTACGAACTACCATTTCCTGCCTTTCCTCGCCCGTCATCATACGCTGCCCCTCGTTTAATAGTGACTCTGGGAGTGATAAAGCTGAGAACTGTAGATTTTTTGTCTGAAACTTTTGTGATGTCGTATATTACCTGCAGACCCAGTGAACTGTCACTTCCAATAACACTTTCTCTGCTAAACAGTCTCAAGCGATGAATGTGAAGTATTTACTATTAGATACGACTCAAGATGTTAACAGCCGGAACAATTGGTCTGAAGAGGTTTGGCAGAGACTATTTACTGAATTTCAGCCATGGAAAACATGCACAACAAGCCTTTAAAATGAACCTTTATGTGGAGTTCCTAAAGGTTTAGTCTTTGGTTGCATGTAAAGAAAGTACACAAAGCGTTTCTAGTTTACTTTTTAAATGCAAGAAAGAAGACCAATCACAAATCAATATGCAAATGATTACATTTCTTTTAAATAATGTAATTAAAAAACAGCAAATACCACACCTGACATTGATGAATAGATTTTGAATGCATATTTTGTAGTTTTTGCTTTATTATTAAAGAAGAGGCATTTTTTTTACCCAATATGCTTATATTTCTTATCTTTTATTCAAAATTGTTTTTATTAATTTTTTTATTATTATTTTTTATCCCTACAAGACTCCGTATGATACTTGATGCAAATACTGGCATGCTTTAGTCTCTTAAAACTCTGGATTTTCCTACTGTTCATTTCGGACATATTCATAAATGTCATGTCCTATATCCGTCTTAATGGTGGCAGTTTCCTTTTATAGACAGATAACAGATCTCTCTGATTTAGGGCTTTTAGCACAGTGTCCTGCCTCTATTCGGCTACAAAGGAGTTCATTCTAGAAGGCTCGCAGTGACCTCATACTGCTGATCTGAAAAAGAGAGTATTCATTCTCCCACGGGAGTCACAAAGGAGGAGATTGAGCAAGAGAATGATTAAAAGAAATAGATGCAGAGGAGATGGAGGCCTTGTCATATTTTGGACTAGATGGGGGGAATGTAGATATTAAGCAAGAGCCCTAAATGTTTTTTTAGGGAAATACTGGCCATTAATGTTTGTTTGTGTGTATCTGGAGGGGATCAAAGAGACCGGCATATTTTCATAAAATGTATGTCATGTTATAAACTTAATCTATTCTAATCCAACTATTGGAATGGAACTTCATCAGCCACTTCCATTAACAGTATGGTTGTATTATGCACCAACATCATTGGCATTACTGCATTTTTATTCAACTCTTTGTTATAAATTCCATTAATTTATTAGATATAAATTATGTTTGGGTGAGCCACCTGTTACTGTACACTCTAAATTGTTTATGCTGCTTAGAAACACTAAACAGCATCCATTAGGCTAAAGAACTGCATTACCAGACAAAAGGATTGCTGTATTTAATTGCATTTATAAAAATATTATTAATAATAATTGGATTAATTTTTTATATTATATTTATATTTGTTATTCTTATGCATCTGTATTATAAAATAATAATTGTTATATATATATATATATATAATAAAAATAAATAAATCCTTTATGTAAAACACTTCGTTAGCATTGGGTATGAAATGTTCTTCATAAACCTGTCTCTACTTAAATAAATGTAACCATTAATTAGACATTGGCGTCTTTTATCATATTATGATTGCTGCCATTCTATAAAAGCAGTTTTAAGACACAAATGAACCAGTTCAAAGGTTTACATAGCCTTGTTACCTGGATGATCAGTTTTGCTTTTCTAGCATCTTCTGCATATTTGAACCCTTTCCAACAGAGACTGTAAGATTTTTAGATCCATCATTTCGCAATGAGATTGTAGGACTCGTACACAACAAACATTCACTGATGCTCAAGAAGGAAACGCAATGCATTAAGAGCTTTTGAATAGGATGATAATGTGTGAATATTTCTTATTTTGTTTAAAGATCATATTTTTTTTATTTAGTACTGCCCACAAGAAGCTACAGAAGATATTTACGTTTCAGTGCAATAGTACATAAAAAAAATAACATGCAACGTGAGGAGTCAGCAGACTTAAATGTGTTTCTCAGGCCAACTTCAACATTCAGTTTTGCAAAAATGTGTACCACTCATTTTCTTCAGAAAAATGTAATAATATAGTTATTCTATTTGTAGTTTTGTCTTCTTTCCATTCATCTTTCCAATGTGTGTGTATCCAATGTATGTGTCTACACGATTGCTAAATTTTATTGTTCTCTGCATTGACATCACTTTTCATTAATAGATCTCCTCCCTTGTCAAGGTTTAACTTGATTTTTCACTGATGGATAAGCGTCACACACAGTCCGGGTGTCATTCTGATCTATTAATCAGGGTGTGTTAAGAGATCCTCCCTTTTTAGCCTAGAGCTGGAGGATGAGAGGAGGGACGAGGGACGAGGGGGGGGGATAAAGGGATAGAGAAAGAGCTATGGTTCTGTTTAGGTCACATGATCAGATGTTGTGCGATAGTAGCTGGCCCCTTCGATCTTAACACACTCTCGTTCCTTGCCCTGGCACACGTCTTGTTCTCACTGCATCTCTAGTGTGTGTGTGTGTGTGTGTGTGTGTGTGTGTGTGTGTGAGAGTGTGACAGCTGTCTGCTGCAGGACATTGTATCACTGTGACTTACTATGTCATTCTGCTGTTGCTTTTTTTACAGGGATTATGGATCCAAACGCAAGTCAGGTAAGACAGCCTTTTATTTACCTCCCATCTGAGTGTTAAACCTGTTGCCGGGTTTAAGGACTAACTCTGCATGCCCTCTCGGTTATTGCGGCATTGAATGACTTGCTGTTTTGCACTCAGCTCAGGGTAGGGAAAGGGTTTCTTCAGAGAATCGCACATGACTCTGAGGTTTTTTGAGCTCTGGGAGTGTCAGCTGTAAAAGGTTTGGGAATAACTGGCGGGACTTTGGAGGAAAGCCACATGAAAGTATGTTCATTTGTACTTTATGCTGTTGCCAACATGGTCTCAGCCAAGTTGTCCAGCTGAAGGCACAGAAAAAAAACGTGGCACCACCTTTTTCTTAGCATTTGGTGCTGTTAATTTTTTTTTATTATTATTTTTTTTTCCTGAGTGCATGTGTAATTAAATATATATACTTATATTTCAGGCTGTTATTATAATGTTGAGGCACAGAGACCTGATTTATGACAAGGATTAGACCAAGTTTCCTTTGCATAGCATGCTAAGGTGTGTGTTTTGTGAGTGCAGTTTTGTGCAGTTGGGACTCACTCAGAGATGCATATCCACACACACATACACATACCGTTGAACACTAACGCAATTTGGATTGGAGTGAGTGTTGGAGTTCCTGTTGTCTCTCCCACACATCCCTTAGAAACATTTTCCGTTTTTGATCTGTTTGCTTACCGCTTGTAAACACACATTCATTTGCTCTGACAATATTTGAAATTTACTAACATTTGGATTTAGTTTTGGGTTCCAAATATGCAATATAGATGTAATCAGAAGTTTTGAGTGATGTATTAAATAATTCCAGATGTTGTTATATTTCCTGTTGACATTTATTTATAACTTTAATTTTCCAAAAAATAAATACAAATAAAATTAAAAAGTTGTTTCAAGGTGCAATCCTCTGTTGTTTTTATCAAATAAAACTGCCAGCTGTGGTTGCCAGAATAGTTCTGTAAAATATACAGTAAAAATTTTATAGAGCAAGCTGTAAATTTTACAGTTTAATTCCAATTTAATTTACAAAAACAAACCAACCAACCAATAGATCTAACAGCTTTTTTCTGTTGAATTAGCATAACCACTCTGATCCTTTAACTTATACTGGCAACCAGCATAATAACACAGGAGGTAAAGAGAAAGACACATGATAAATCAAAGTTCATCACAAGTTGCTTTTCCACAAGCTGAGGTAAATATTAATATAAAAAGTGAGTGACGTGACATGTATGGTTACCCATACTAGGAATTAGTGATCTGCATTTATCCCATCCTAAGTGCACACACACAGCAGTGAACACACACACAGCAGTGAACACACACACACCCGCAGCCGCAGCCATTTATGCTGCAGCGCCCGGGGAGCAGTTGGGGGTTCGGTGCCTTGCTCAAGGGCACCTCAGTCGTGGTATTGAAGGTGGGAGAGAGCGCTGTACATTTACTCCCCCCACCTACAATCCCTGCCAGTATGAGACTCGAACCCACAACCTTTGGGTTACGAGTCCGACTCTCTAACCATTAGGCCACAACTTCCCCAGAAGATGCACACAGAAGATGCATATAGAAGATGCACACAGTGTCATGGATAAATACAAAACACCATCATAATAACACACGTGGCATTTAAATAATACAATAAACATTAATTTAACAAAGTAAGATGTAACATGGAACCCTAATGTACATAACTAGTGACAACTAGCTAAGAAGAAACATTTATTTCAGTGAACACCCAAATGGAAAGTGTCACATTAAAAGTATGGTCTCTTACCATTTAAAATGCAATCATTTTTACAGTAAGTAAAGTACATCAACATAAAAAGTGCTCTGTTCTGCAACACTTAAACCATGTTGGAATCTAGTACTCATGTGATTCTGATGCTGAGCTGAATGTGTCTTGAGGGTATCATGCAATCACATGCATGAAGTTCAGCCTTGAGTCATTTCTAGTGATTTTTTGGGGGAAGGAGTGCAGAGTTATGGTCTTACACTGTAGTTATTTCAGTACATTTGTGATGAGGCAAAGTGCTAGACAGACAGGTTTAGTGAGTGAAGTGTGGCCAAGTATGGTGACCCATACTAGGAATTAGTGCTCTGCATTTATCCCATCCAAAGTGCGCACACACACAGCAGTGAACACACACACCGTGAACACACAGTCATTTTTGCTGCGGCACCCGGGGAGCAGTTGGGGGTTCAGTGCCTTGCTCAAGGGCACCTCAGTCGTGGTATTGAAGGTCGTGGTATACATTCACTCCCTCCACCTACAATCCCTGCCGGTACGAGACTCGAACCCACAACCTTTGGGTTACGAGTCCGACTCTCTAACCATTAGGCCACGACTTCTCTTTAGTTTAGTTTTATAGATGATGTTGGACCAGATTGTAAAGAGGGCAACATTAAGGTTTGTGAATTTGTGTTTAGATCATGCTTGTCAGGTCAAGTATGCCCTAAGGTGTGTGTCACTAAGTACGAGAAAGCCATCAGTACACAAACACACACATCCACATTTGTTTTCTATAATGTTGGGGACTTTCCATTGACTTCTGTTGTTTGTATAAAGGTTCCCTTTCAGTCGGTCACTCTCGACGTCACGTCGGAGGATCGACGAAATTGGGATCTCGCTTATGGTATTGGTTCTATCCAATAACGTTAAACCTAACCTCCACACAAACCCTTTTCTTTTCGAGATTTTGATTAAAACATTTATTAAATACATCCTTGTGTATTTTGATTTAGGTTTTATTATGCTTACAGGGGCAATTGGATCCATTTGGTGTAGGCAAAATCTGATCCAGACAAACATCCACTAGTGAATGTTAATTTTTTTTTAGACCAGTAGTTATTCTTGAGAAACAGGCAATTGTTTTGCAGTATTTATCAGGTCTGCAGTGTCTATACAAATATTTGTCTGTCCATTCTGTTTGGTTAATTCACATTTATTTGCTCTCACAACATTTGAAAATTGCTAACATTTGGGTTATAATTTGACCAGCAGCTGAGGTGATGTAATAAGCAATTCCAGCTGTTGTTTTCCCCCTTCCGCCTCTCATTTGACAAGAAATCATATGCAACCCCTTATCATTAGTATTTTGGATCATTGGAATTCATATCATCATCATCATCATCATCCTCTGTTCCATTCTGTTTTTAAGATGACCATGCGCATCTTCTAGACATCAGTAGTAATCTGTTTGCTACAAGTGAAATACATCCTGAAGATGTTATCCTAATTTCTCAAATATGTATTTTGTAAGATTGGTAATTTATTTTTATGTTTAAAGATCTGTGGTTTTACTATGTCCCCATCTCTCGGTCAGTTTGAACACCTTGCTTGTTGGTTTCCATCTTCATTAATTATCTCTGAGGGTTTAGCAGGTGGAAACTGCAGCTGGGATGTGTCATTATCAAAAACAAACTTAGGCGTGGGCATTGTATATCCCCTGACAGTCCCGTTTACCAAAGCTTCCACACCGTGATGAGAAATTTCATTTTAAAATGTTTTAAAAATTGCTGATTTGCATGACAATGTAAGGCTTGGAAGGAGCATTGTGTTTTCATTACAGATGGGCATCACTTCCTGTGTCAGCTAGGGTTGTGACGGTGAGGAAATTTTCCCACCGGTTAATCGACGTGTGACAACACTGGTATCACTGCGGGGGCGGGGGCGCTCCCTCTTTTCCTCGCTTTCCTTCACTTTTAAATAGCTTGTTAAAGCAGTGTGCGCATTTTACTTTCACTTTCAAATAGCGGCAATTCGGAGTAAAGCAATTGTTCGTTTTTAGTTTGTTTGAATTTTCCCTCTTTTCCTCGCTTTCCGTCGCTTTTAAATAGCGTAAAAGCGCCGTGCGCATTTTACTTTCACTTTTTAATTAGCGGCAGTTCGGCGTCAATTGCTTGAATGCAACAACAAAATACAACTTCAAACTCACTTTAGCCTATATATAAAACATAGAACTTTTATTAACAAAACAAATAAAAATACACCATGCTATAGGGCAGGCTATGCCTAATATAAAATAACAAATAGCTTACATAAAGTTTAATAGGTATACAAAACTGGAAATAAGTAAACATGTATAATATATAACCAAATAAATAAGAAACGTAGAACGTTTATTAGCAAAACGAATGTCAAATAAAATAAATAAATTACACAAAGTTTAAATAATGTAAAAATCAGCAAACAATGTGGAACCAATTAAATAAGAAACGAATGTTTTAAAAGAATCTTCCAAAATCACCTTAGTTAAACGGCAAAAGTCAACAGGCTTTTCAAAATCCAAAATATTGCCAAACAGGCGCTTTTGCATTTCGTTTCGAAACTAAATCATCCGCGATCGTCTTGTCTGTCGCACCTCACTCTTCTCGTCAGTCAGTTCGACTCACTCTCCTCACTGGATAAATTAAATCTAATCTGTGATGCTACTGTCGTTCGGCACGCTGCATTGAGCAGCCGCGTTCAGTTTTGAATTGTAGTGTCTGTTCTTTTACTGAACTAAATGATTTTTACTATTATAAAAAATCAAAACGACGATGGGGGTCGGTGACGTGGTGGGCAAGTGACGTAACCGGTGTTGAGACTTAACAACGGTATCACCGTCAGCACTGTCTATCGCGGCAAGCCTAGTGTCAGCAATGACTGATTATGAAAATATTTACATTAAAAATGATACATTATTTCTTTAAAGCTTTTTACATCAATTGCAATCTATATATTTATATTTCCATTAATGGCAAAATTAATGCATTAATGGAGTGACTTTGTGGTTTCAGGTTACATCGTTACACCAGTAGATGGCGAAAAGTGAATGTTGTTGAGCAAATCATTCATTCAACCGATTCGTTCGAAACACTGATTCATTAAGCAGCTAAACAAGTGACTGTGTTTATGAGCGAGTCATTGAATCATTTACTCAATTGACTCATTCAAAAACGCTGATTCATTCATGAACAAAACACCACCTACTGTGTGTTGCAGACTTAACAAC